AGCAAAATACACAAATAAGCCTTTAATACAGCATTTTCCACAACAAGAGCAAATGGACAAGTGCCAGTGAAAGGAAAACATCAATATTAATCATAAGATCAGCAACAAAAGGAGCCGTTATTCAATCTTTTTCTGTTGTATTTCAACTGGCCTGAATCAACTTAAAGGAAAATTTTGATTTCCCTCTTTGTTACCTAGGAATCCAATACCAAGCTGCTGTTTACCCACTTAGTCCAACCCATTACCCCTCTGTGCTTAAAAGGCTCATTTTAAGAGCAAACCTTATGATCATTTGCTCCTTTTACTGCATGTTAATTTCCCTGAACCTCATCAGCTGAGGTAAAACGATGTCCACCGGCTTGAATATGTTTGCGGACAACTGGTGGGAATTAACACTAACAATCCCTCACTGTGAGTGCTACAAACGTCAGAATGCATGCACTCAGCATAAAAATGGTGTGCACATGCTTCAGCAGACAGAGGGGGGGATGGGATGGATTTACAGTTACGGAGCTTTGCCTGAGGTCTAACCTGAACTGTGAGTCCTTTCATTCACTCAGGTTGATGTGAAGAGAACCATTCTTTGGTTAATGAAGCCAAGCTTGCAGTTAAGATCTGATAGATAGAAAGATAGTCACACTATAGACCCCACTTACTTTAACAAATGTCCAATTCACACTTTTTAAATATTGTGGTATAAGCTATAAATGCTTTGAAATGGCAGTCGAGGATTATTATTTGTGTGGATTTCTTATTCACAAAAAGCATGATCAGAAAATCATTGCAGTAAGAAGAACATAAATTACCATGTAATAAAATATATTGTATTGTGTAAAACTGTTTTGTGTTTATTGAAACTGTCACTGTGTCCAGACTGTATGACATGAGAGAGATAATCTGTGAAAAATCAGTGTCTCCTCCATGTGATCCTACTGCCACCTGCAGAAATGCTAAACTCGGAACAACCAGTCAGAGCCAGGAGGAGGGCATTAGCACTGTCAATCATACTAGTGTATTTGCTGCTGCTGCACCCCTTGGTCCCTGGTTCACTACAGCTCCTTCTCCACGGAGGAGCCGACTGAATTTGCGGGCTATTTAGCATTTCCACCAACGATAGCGGATAAACAGTTTTCTTGTAACATTAAGTTGGTTCTCCGGCTGCAGCAAAACGGCAATCTTGAGGTTGTAGTCGCTGCTTGCGTCAAGCAATGCGTACATGAGCGTGATTGACAGTGCTAAGACCTTTTTCTTGGCTCTGGTTGGTTATTTCTGAGCGAGCAGCATATTTCTGGAGATGGCAGCAGGACCACAGAAAGGAGGCAGGGCAGCAAGACTTTTTCACAGATTATCTGTCTCATATTCTGCTGTAAGAACATAGTGACGGTTTTAACAAATATGAAAAAAAATATATATTTAATAGAAGTTACCACTTACAATTTAACCCTACGAAGACACAACTGAGATTTTTCCACGTTACTTGATGTGGCTGCATTATTCTTTACTCTTTATTCAATTTAAATCACCTTTACCTGGAAACCATTTTTGCTATCAGTGAAAGCAACTTTGCTAATTTCTTCATTATAGTATGAAGAATGCTGGGAAAAACTACTTAAATAGGACCTTCCGTTTTGCACTGCAATGAGATTAATGACTCCACCCAATAGACGAGTTATATTTGTGTGAAGATGGTGAATCTAGAGCGTCTCCGTGGGGGAAATAAAGAAGCTCTCCTTTGCTATAGTTCCCCGTTTTTTATTTAGGTTGTCTGGATTCACACACTAGCATCCTGATGCGTGCAGCTCTAGGCACTCTGCCCCATGGTGAATGTTAAGTCTGTTGTTGCAGCGCGCACCGTAAAGGACGTGAACACTTGTCAAAGTGCTGTGCTGAGATGCCCTGGAGTAAACGCCTGAAGGTAACATTTGGCAGGATATCTGCATCTTCTGATTGCTACATATACATGAAATAAACAGTTTCACTGGTAGGTGTCGGCTGGCAGCAGCAATCGCGATACTGTAAATGAGATGAAAGCTGTGTTTGAGGTTTAGCACTTGCAAAGACACTTGTGAGCGAAAATAAACTGAGAAGGTTTGTATTTTTGATGGACTGTGGTGGGGGTGGGGAAGAAATTCAGATAACCATGACAGACAAACGCCTCTTTGGAAGCGGCTGTCGTTCTCTGTATGTTTTAAGTTTAAAGATCGAAAGCCATAAGCTTAATTTGTGGCTGGTTTATATACCTTCGAGTGGGGCGGTGTGAAGCTTTCTTAACTGGCATCCAGCAGGTGTTCTGGCCTACATATTTTATGTGTAGGGAGATTAGTTTCTGCTGCTCAGATGATAGACCTATTTCTAAAGCCTAGGCCACTGATAAAACAGGTGAGCGCAGGAAGCGAACACTGAATGATCTTATATTCCAACATACTTTAGGTCTTGGAGAATTTTAAACACATTAGCTAACATATATCCTCCACAAAGTATGCTTGAAATAAGCCCATATAAAACTTCTCAAATGAGAAATGTGTTTATTTTTGAAAGCAAATGTAAACAGATTACTCTCTACTGCTTATAGATTCTTAGGAAATGCCATCTTTATCGTCCCACTTTTTAAAATTTATAATAAACTTCAGTTTATATTGTTGGAATCTTATGTGATGGATCAACGCAAAATGAGGTGCAAATTATTAAATTAAATGTTTTTAGGGAACCTGCAAAAAATCTGTGTGGTGGAAGCAAAACACTGCACTTTTTTACCCTGATCCCCACTGTGAAACATAGTGTTGGCAGCGTCATGCTGTGGGGATTTATTTCTTCAGCAAGGCAGGGAAGCATGTCATAGTTTATAGGGAAATAGAATTTAATAACGATGAAAAATTTTCAGAGCATATTTTAATTTATTTGGCCTGTCTTAGTTTTATTCTTATGAGCTAAATCTTACTGAACTTTCAGCAACTAAGTTTATTGCATATCTAGTTTAGGGTTTTAAACTCTTGAAATCAGGACTATTTCTGATTATCTTCCCTCTTTTCCTCCTTCCTCACTGATCAGTGTGAGGGGGGAAAAAAAACACTAGGGCCACAAAAACATCAAAAAGCCACATTAGTTGATTTCATGTTGAAGTTTCGATTTAGTTTAGGTAAATAGACAGATATTTACCTCGTCAGGGACGATGCACAATGAAAACATTAGCCACTAATTTCTACTTGTACTCAACAGGATTGAACTAACATCCTTCGAGATTTAAATGGCTGCTTTTCTAACTTCCTTTAGACTCTGGCTGTACTGCAGTGGTAACATTAGTTGATACATGAACAAAAAGAAAACATTTTTCACCCCTACACGTATTTTTGTCTATCTCTACAACAGAGCTGAAGCTCAAGCGCTCAGGCCACCTGCAAAACGAAAAGAAAACCCTTCACTCAGATTTATTATTTATTCAATTAGTTGCCTTTTAGTCAACATTTAAAAAAAAAAAAAACTGCTACCACTTCACATATGTAAAGCTAATTTATTTCAGTGCCTCCTATCCAATTTCCATGTCTGTGAATCCTGTTTCTAACATGCCTCTCCAGAAGGGCACTTCTATCCTGCTCCATGAACTGAAAGTCACATCCCCCACCAGCAGGACAGAAGGCAGAGTGGCACCATGGATGTCGGTCATGCAGGAAAGGGAGATCAGTGGAGCTGTGGGCTGTTTTGACCATGAACATTAATAATGCTACCAAATTCTGCAAGGTTTTTTTTTTTATAATTTAAAATCATAATCAGTTAGTGTTAGAGCTGGGGGCAAGAAAATGGGAGTGAGGGATATTTGGCTATATAATACAGTGTTTGCATTAATATGGCAATAACTGACAGTGCAGAAAAAGCTTGTTCTATAAGCATTCAACAATTACTCCTTTTTATTTGTCCTACTCCATCTTGATTCCCCCCCGCCACCTCACTTTGTGGCAGTGCTGATGGTCTCACTTTTTCATTTTACCCATACCTCAGTTGCTTTCTCCTCTATCTTTATCTGTTTCTCTCCCTCACTTTCTTGCTGTCTCAGTGTAATGTGATCGAGGACCGATGCTGCCAGCCCCAACTGTGGCACTGCAATCTCTGCTCTGCTCCGGTTGCTAGGCAGCCCGTCTTAGACAGGGCTCAGTGATGCACCTCCTTCTCCCTGTCTGCTTTGCCCTCCTCCCCATCCCCCCCAAAAAATAAAATAAAATAAAATAAAAAGAGCGAGGTGGGAAATTGTCAGGAATAGCCAACAAACCAAAATGTATTTCTGAGGATTTATCTTTTTTTAGAGAGCGCCGCTTCACATCTGCAGTGCAGCACAGTAGAGCATTGTGATCCTGGGGGCTTTGGAGGTTGCGCGTGCGGATTTGTTGAATACGGGCTTCGAGGCACCGAACAGTGTGACAGATCTCCACTGTGACTGCGCTGCCCACCTTCTCGTGTGTTTGTGATGGAAATCGCAGTGTGCAGATTCTGTGTCATCGCGCCTAGGATGAAGCCTACCATGTGTGGCTGAAACAGTGGGCTGCTGGCAGGTTGCCCAGGTGTGGGATATTGGTAGGGGAGTGAGGTTGCCACGAAGAAGCTGCATGAACTGCTACCTCATAAAGCACTCATGAATCAATGCTCTAGTAGCTCCAGGTGGCTGTGGGGGACGATAACTATTCAAAGTAAAATGCCAGAACGCTTTCGAGGCCTTTGTTCCTATTATGTCTCCACTTTTCACTTGTAGGCGTCACACATGTTATGCGATGCACAAGCTGTGCTTATAGACTGCCAACATTTGGTTAACAGAGGCAATCTGACAGGAATACTGCTCTGGTCGTCAGCCGAATTTACTTTTCTATTTCAGAGTTGTATTTCCTATAAATAAATCTCAATTTATGATAATTTTGATCACATTAACTGATTAAATCACTACCCCAGGACCTGAGATCTTCTTAGTTGGATAATCTTTTCTGTGCCTCCTTGTTTGTGTGTGTGTCGTCTTGCAGAAGTACAGGTACCAGGATGAGGAGACGCCCCCCTTGGAGCACAGCCCAGCACATCTGGCTCCAGGGAAAAGTGCAGAGATGCTTCACATGAGTGACAAGAACCTCGCTGCCATGGAGGCCATACACGGCTACACGCCACACACGCATATCTCTCCTGTCAAGGTATTAATTGCACACATTTACTTAGACATTGTGGATGAATAGGTTGCAATATGCAGTGCAATGGACTCCAATTTGCAAATGCAGTACGTTTCAAGAGCAATTCATTATTTCTTTGCTTGTGGATCCCAGTAATTTTTCAGCTATGCTTAATATTCAATGCAGCATTGACAAAGTGATTGACCTCCTCTTTCAAAAATCCGAAGCACATTGTGTGCAGCAACTTTGCTGTCAAAATTAAAACAGCTAAGATGATAAAGTCTTCACAAATGTTCATATTGTGAAAAATGATTAATGGACAGATCCATTTAGACGTCTACTGGACGTCAAATCGTCCTTGACATTTGCCAAAACAGTAAGTGCATTTCTCAAAACGATTCACGCAAACAGCAACGCACCATTGATCACCTAAAAACAAAACAAAATCCTCGAAAAATAAATATCTGTGTCAATGAACATGTCAGTGCCGTCAGAATGACAAGTCCTTGAGTCATTGTGTATGGATAACACAGTCAAATTGCTTTGTTTGTGTTGTGAATATAGCAGTGTACTCCGGAGGGATACTTTGAAATAAACTGTGGCTACAGCTGCTGGGCCACAAATTCTCACCCACACCGCAAAGATGATCTTCTTTGGCGACGCAGTGTGGAAAGAAACTTTTAGAGTCAGTGTCTTATCCAGCTGTGAAGTCATCACACGCCTCATCCACGGCATCCAGAAGGGTCATCTGAGTCCATGGCTGGCATATGCTGTACATCTCCATGTTGAGAAAATTCCTCAGTGGGATTAAGGATTTATATTTAGATTTAAAAACACCATAAAAGCCTGTTGTCAAGGCATGACTTGAAAAGGAACATTTTAGCCAAACTATGCAAATACCATTGGTAGGCCTGTCACAATAAACAATAAATCAATTAATCGCAATATCAGAAATCTCCAGTTGGATGATTTATCGTTTTCTTTCTCCCAAAGTTGGTCTTCAATCTGGTACTTTGGTCTCAACTAACCCTTTTGTTTTAGGAGGGCAATTCTGTTTATAGGTACTTCGTAATTCCTTTGATTTGTTGTTCCTGCTGTTTTGTTTATTTGGGATATTTAAAATGTCTTCCAGTCCCAGTGCAAAATGTTCATTATAATTTTTAAAGTTTACTGATCTTTGAGAGTGTAATACCATTGCATTACTTGAAAATGGTCTCAAAACAACAACATTATCATTCATCTCAATTAGTGGGACAATTTATCGTCCAACAAAATTTGTTATCTAACCTGATGTATGTTTTCTATTATCCTGAATTAATTCAAACCAGTGTTTTCAATTGTTTTTGCTAAAAATCCTCAAAGTTGTTGGGAATAAAATAAAAATAAATATAGTATTTAAAGTCCTAAAATCAACATTTAGAGACAGGGTGAGTTTTTTAAAATTTTTATCCAGAATTGCATGCGTATAACTGATTAGACCAAAAATGCACACATCCTGTTAAAAATGTTTAAGTTATAATGGTTGGTGTCCTTCTAAATTTCTTTATCATTGGAAAATCCTGATGTAAGCAGGATGACATTATGCTTTTGTTCATCTTACGTACCACCCAGACACAAAACAGTATCTGATTTAACTTAGCACCACATGCTGGCTGGTTTGGAGTCCTACATTGCCCACTTAAGGGCACTGATGGGAAAATAATCTTATTTGATAATTAAATATGGCCTGCCGTGCCGTCATGCATCAGCTTTGAGCTTGTATGAACATGAATATCAGGTGATCTGATATACACACTCAAAGTGCGTCTGGACACAAGATACCTTAATGACAGACAATAGGCAGATAATATGATCAAATGAACCAGGCGTGGTCAAACTAGAGAAATGAGCACAAGTGATTCCAGTCAGCATTTTTTTTAATCATAGTTGTCATCATTATTTGTGTGGATAAAATGTGCTAAATTACATGGAAGCTAAACCCCTCCCCCCCTACAAATATAGACTTCATGATGCACTTAGGTGTGTGTCTGTACTGAGACGGACATCGTAAGAGCTACCATTAGCAAAGCAAGCTGACATCAGTGGGAACATGAGCAGCTTGCTTTGAAGTGCACTAACTCAATTCTTCTGTAACTACAAATGTACCAGTGTAAGCTGCGGCGGCCACTTAAACATGACGCATCTCATGTGTCCACATATGTTATCCAACAACCTTCTTACCAACTGAGAGTGAGAAGATCCTGTTTTTGTTTTTCTGTGATGGGGGACCATTTTCCACAGGCGGAGAGAAGTGAAGTCCCTCGATGAGCCAAAATGAAATGCTGCTGTTTAATAAGCAGCAAAGAAAGGCTGGTTTATTGTGATTTCTTGCTGTCATATAAATTATACACTTGTCTCTTCGGTGTGAGGAGAGATAACCATGGAGATTTCTCGTTAAGGAGGTTGAGAAGCTTACTGGGTGTTATAACACTGGAAAACTGAGGTCTGGAATGGAGTTGCATAAAAACAGTAAAACAGTAATCAGACAAGCTACTGGGAATACAGAACCATTAATAGATATTATTTGCATGGTTCACATGAATTGCTCTTTTTGTGGTGCAACCCACACACACCGAAACACACACACACTCCCCTGAACAGGGCCATTTTGATCTCATAAAGCTAACTTTAGTTACAGCTTATATATAAAAATACACACGATAGATAGATGGAGCCAGGAGGAAGGTGTTGACGCTGTCACTCAACCTCGCGTACTCGCTGCTGTCTGACCGTTACAGAAGAACCGTTTGTCCGCCATCATTGGCAGCTAAGCTAACTGGCCTTAGCATTCACAACAAGATCCACTGACGAGAAAAAGGCGTAGCGGTATCGGAGGGTGCAGAGAGGAAGGGGATGAGCATCGCCACACGAAATTGTGATTGACAAGCTCTAAGACCCGCCTCCAGGTTCTGATTGGTTGTTTTTAGTTGGCACTGGGAGCACTGGGAAATATCAGAGAAGTCTGTCTCTTACCACAGTCAGATTCTGCAAATGTAAAAAAAAAAAGTTTTTGTAAAAGTTACATACTGCAGCTTTAATAAATGTTATATTTCTTTTGTCCTAATTTAGTTCAGATTCTTTTTCCTCTTATCTTTGTGTTAAAGACTCAGACAGAAAGACATCTAGGTAAAAAATAGTGTTTTGAACCGTTCTTGGTATTTTGTCCATTTTCTCGTGGATGAAAACATTTCTGAAAATGGCCCCATGTTGTTTTCAGAAACATGTTGTTTTCAAAAACAACATGCTGTTTTAGAAAAACATGTTCCTGTGTGGATTGGACCAAAATGTGACAGATGATCCAAATGTTAATGTAGGACAGAACAAACAACTCGTACATCAAAGAGGATGGTCTGATTTATCGACAACTGATAAATACTTTAATTAAAGGGATCGGAGAGAGGCTTCATTCCTCTAAGTTGCTCTTCTAACATCTGTCATTATGTTAATCAACTCTGTTTAAGTGAGAATAAAAATTATGATTAGTGCCTTCCAGTGTCTTCAGATCATTACTTGTTCAATCAGCTTACAGATGCTTGTGGAGTTTTTCTATCACTAGTACCACTTTGATTAAAAGTTCAAATTTAATGAGCTCAACCACAATCTGCAGTTATTCACTTATGACCAATACTATGATGAATCAACATCCATTTAAAACATATTTATGTGTTTTTTATACGTTGTCTTTTTTCTTAAACACGTCTCATCATTACCATAAACATGGTTAGCCAAGTTTGCATACCCATTGTCCCCCAGTATTAGTTGTTATGGTACGAATATATTACGATAATGTCATAATATTTTGCTGTGGAAGTTAAACCAAGTGCATATGAGCTGTATCAAAAACATTTACTTCTGACAACCAGCTGGATGCACCAAGAAATTTTGTTTTTTTTGTTGCAGTTGTTTTCGCTGTGTCTTTTTCCACCGATTCACAGAGTCAGAATATGAATAATTATGCTGTATTTAATAACATAAATAACATCCCTCTGCGCCCCTGTCCATTTGAAATGACGTGCCAATTGAAAGTTGTACATGCACTCTGTTATTCTCTCACATGTGTTGTTTCAACAACTGGTCACATTAAAATATGTAAAGGCATCAAAATGTAAAGCAAACATTCAAAGTTTTTATATAACTAATCGTGCAGCTGTTCTAGTTGTCTAATTCTAATTAGTAGAGCTAGGAAATTATGATTTACTTTGTACATAACATTTTATGGGGCGTCTATAATGCAGATTTTAGTTTGGTTACATGAGTAAATGTGTCACCAAAAGAACCGTTTCTTTTGAGTTCAATCATTTTAAAATGACAACTTTTTCTGACTCTAAAGTAAACTATATACTCTCTTTTTTGTCATGTTATTTTATATTATATGCAATCTTGTTGCCTACATTAGATTACACTTCAGAGCTACCTTTTAGGATGTGTTGCCTACTCATTCTGAAGTGATCTGTATTGCAGTCTGTACCAAAATGTGTCCACCAGCTGCAAAGACATTAGTCAAGTCCCGTCACACAACTAAAGGCGTTTAATATATGCAGAGGACGCGAGATCTCTTAAATTATGTTAATTCCACATCATTACATAACCAGTGACCCTGGAACATTTAATTTTGTGCATCAGTCCACCAGCAGTGTTTGCACATACTGCAAATTTCAGCAGATTATTGGGATCTTGGCTTTAAACCGTTGAGGCCGCTTTACCTTGAAGTAATGGACAGACAGGCTGTTTCAATTTCCAACTCCATTTTCCTTTTGTACTGTTTAAAATGAAAAGCCTTTTTGAAAAGTGTTTTTGACAGTTGAACAAATCAATATTGTTCTCTTTTAGCTACCTTGATTATGTATATATGCATATACATGCAGCTTAGGAGCTCTGGAAGTTATGAGGTGACAATGCAGCCTTAAAAAAAATCCACTGGGAGCGAACCATGTCAGCTTGTTCGCAATGTTTGTCTAAACCTGAGTAACTCCATTTCTATTTGTAGGTTACTGCTATTATTTATTATCAAGCTTTGTGCTACTCTTCTCTTCTGGGAGAACTGAATTCACTGCAAAAGAAAAAAAAAATGTTTTGAACTTATTTAGATCAAAATTAACCATGTGAATCATGTTATGGAAGTGTGAGAATCCTCTGGAAGGCAGAAAAGGAAAAATACACTGAAAATACATAATTAACAGCAAAGCTCAAAATCCTTTGGATGTTCTTTGAAAAGCAGGCTTAACTGCTGAGTTTGAGGTGTGATATTTAAGATTAAGTTTGCTTCTGAAATTAGCTACACCTAACTTGTGTTTTTTTTATGAAATTATGTCCATCTCTGTATTTGCTATAATCTGCTGCTGTTACTCAAGGGCATGAAAGATACAATAATGATGGCTGAGTTCCAATTACTAGTCAGTCAAAACAAGATGTCTGTTTTTTGGGGGTTTTTTTATGAAACTTGCAATTAAAACACATTTTAAAAATCACTTCAGTATCAATATAGGTCTTTAAAAAGTAGTCAGTGGTGATGCTGTGCACAATATAATGAACCAGATGTGGTTTAGGCAAAATTTTAAAATTAATTCAAAACACTAACAGAACACAAAATCACCAATGGCATGCTCACTAGCACCCCTGCTGCTTGTTGTTTGTACAAAGTCATTCTGATAATGAAATAGCCTCTGTTACCGTTTTACCACTTGGAGCAACAAACTATGTGCCTTTTCTTTTTACCATAATCTCTAAATCATCCAGATTCCAGGGTGATGTTTTATGCTCTCTTCTCTTCACATAAGCCCACACATAAAGGGGTTCAGGTCGATTTTGTATGCGGTAGACCATTTCTTGTTGATTTGGTCATATGATTTAGGTGATCCTAATGACGCAGTGAAGATATTTTTTTTTCAGTTTCCAGTCAGAGATCCCCAGTTTTCAATTAAGATATTCTGGTGTTTTAAAAGCATTAATGATCTAGTGCCTCTGACATGACACTCAGGACTTTTGAATGAGAAAAAGACCCACAGCATCACAGACCCTTACTGTAAGGCAGATTGGCCTCTGAATGAACAATTTCACCACTAGAATCACTTTTTCTAAAATGTTTAGTGACAGATTAGGATTTTACTTAGTTGTGATTCCAGTTTTAGTTTCTTTTTATGTCAATATAACTTATAAAGGAATGTTGCACAGGAAATGATGGTGTTGTGATTGATGATGGCAATGATGATGACGATGCTTGGTATTCATGTGGTTCATGTGGTTGCTCTTCACATAAGGATTTCCTCCTCACAGTGCCACGACGAACATAAAGGTAGTTTAGTCTTTGCATGTGTTGCTCACCCCTTTGTTTCTGCATTTTTTTATTTTTTTTTACCAAAAGGCAAGTCTAGTTTAAAAGGGATTTTTTTCCACCACATTTCTAATGAGTGTTTGCCTTTTGCTCCCCCTTTTCATCCTGCTCACCTTCTTCCTCCTTCCCTTGCTCATCACCCGACGCTGGCAGCAGAAAATTAACTAAAGCTCAAATATATTAACAAGTTCTGGTGTTTGAAATCCTGCAGCTTAAAGGAAACTTACAGGGAAGGAATAATAAATAAGCAATATCTCACAGCCTAATTGCGCTGCTCTTCATTTACAACAGAGCGAGAAAAGCCTATAACATTTCCCATGAGCCCATTAAATAAAGGACAGGTTGATTTTGAGAAAAAGTGAGCAAAATTAAAGAAAAGAAAAGTGGGACGGTTTCCTCTTGATCAACACAGCTTGTCTAAATACTAAGACCTCAGTGTGCACTGCTGATGGCTAAAACCTTTCCAGCGCAAAGCAGCCGCAGCACTGCTGCTAATTGTAAAAATCGAGTTTTCAGAGTGGCTGTTTCAGCTGTGCAGAGCTTCACAAACATATAAACAGATGTGCAGTTTGAATTGATTCTGCTTTTTATTTATATTTTAACTATCTTATTTATGAACAAACGCTGACCCCATGCTGTGTTCCGCAATTCTGACTCTATTCTAGCTAAGGATTCAAATTTGTAACTTATTTATAAAGAATCAAAGCTTTGATACATCAAACATAATATAGAAAGGGTAGGAGAGTGAGGTAATATTTTTCTAACTGCTCTAAATGAAGTTACATTTGCAAGAAGATTGTTGCAAGTTTCATAGAGTGTTTTTTTTTTTTCCAATCATACAGTCAACAGTATGATTGTATCTTTATGCTTTGCGACTGTTTTCATGACTATTTTTCACCTTTTGTCACACTGCAGCCACAAGTTTCCCTTTACAAGATAAATAGAAGACGATGTATGGCTTTCGAAAATGTCACTGTCAAAACCACCACACTCAATGTGAGGCATGGTGTTGGCAGCTTACTACTGTGGAGGTAATTTCCACAGCAGGAACAGAGATGATAAATATGTGGGGATTATGGAAATAAAGGCAATAATGCTAAACAAGCACCCAGACTTATAGATGTCTAGAGTTAGAGTGGCCAAGTCAAAGTCCAGACTTAAATTTAACTAATCTTAAAATTGAAATTTACACATACTTTCCATCCAATCTGACTTAGCCTGGGTTATTTTTTTTTTATAGTGGAAGATAGAAATATTTTTGTCTCTAGTTGCACAAAACCTGTAAAGACACACAGCAAAAGAGCCGTAGGTGTCACTGCAGCCAAAATGTACTACACCTGTACTGTATTTGTGAAAAAACAAAACAGAAAGCCATGTTTTATTTTAATTCTACTTCACAATAATGTTCCACTCTATGTAAAACCTAGATTACATTCAAGTTTGTGTTTGTGACGTGGCAAAATGTGAAACAGTTCGTCTCACTAGACGATGCGTGCTTCACACTTAATCTAGGTTTCTCAGTAATCTTCAGAATTATTTGGCATATTTCACAAATGATAAGGTAAAGCGAAACTAAGTCGTGCCCGCTGTTCTTCCCTTTACCCATCCGCACGTCCTGCACAATTACCCTGTCCCTTCTGTTGTTTTACAGCCTGTGTTGATGTCCACGGGACACACTCCAATGTACACCTCCGCAGTTTCCACACTGGTAAGACCACGGCGATCCGTGATACTCTGTCAACGGTAACATCAGCAGTGTCATCATCTGTCATCATCCAAAAGCGTGATTTTGTTATTTTTTTTCTCTGTTTTTTTCTTTTTATTATTTTCAACCCTCACTTCCTGTTTTACGTTTTGTGTGGCTGGCTGTCGGCTGCCCGTTCATCCGTATTTAATGCTCGCTGTTATATTTATGAGGTCATGAATTTTCCGTGTCATTTCAGTGTATTCATTCTTTATCAGTGTCATTTGAATCTTCTCTGTCGAGCAGATTCGTTCTGCTGGTGGTCACTGTCTACTTTTGGACATGAAATATGCTGCTTCTTTGCACTGCAGTATTTCAGCGCATGAGGACATTTCTACAGAATCAGCAATGGCTCGAGAAAAACCCACAAACACACTCGGCGATGCCTCGAGTCTTGAAGGTGTAAAATGGGAGGGGGGCTTAAGAACGTGTAATCTGTTGCAGGACACACTGGATCCTGCAGGTGGCGGTGTTAGACTGCACCCACTGACTTTCATAACCTTGAGAAGACATTTATGTTGCACCGGTGGAGCAGTTTTATGATCAGACAGGTTGCACTTGACTCGTGTGCTGTAACTTTTTATTGCAGGGCAAAGCGTGTGCATTATGGAATAGTGGTACACTGAGACGCTGCCTCTTATGCCTTTCTAGATATACGCATATCTTACCATAATTTCCGTACCATTAAATTAAAGTCTGGAATTTTGCACGCGCAATAAAAGGTTGATTTATTTTGAGACTTTTCCTATTTTCTCCAGGGTCGTGGTATGCATTAGAACTGGACACAAACTTGGTGTAAAACAGCACAAATTTTAAAGTTATTTTAATCAATCCTTATAAGTAGAAATCATATTAGGAAAAGCAAAATTTCTAACATTTTGTCAAAACAGTTCAATCTTTTTATTTGATTAAATAGTAATAACTGATTTGCTTTGTGTTTGCCTAAACTTCACTTCTAGATTGGGGAATATTTCTCAATTTTTTTGTATTCAGAAAATATTCTTTTTGCCTTTCTGCATATATACACAATATGAGTACAGTAGTTTAAATGCTGGACATTTTGTGTGTTCAGACTGCAGGTTTTAATGTGTCTATGTTTGAATCAGTCTTACAGTTGTTTGCCTTAATCACATTCAGTATTAAAGTGCTAGTTCCAGTTAAATATCAATTAAAATACTTTGCATGGAGTTTTTTTTTTTCATTTGTTACAATTTAAACTGAGTAAATATATTGTATCTTCCAAGGTGCATATCTAATACTCTCCAAAATTCCCTTTGTTTTTTTTATTGTTTTCATCTTGTTTTTGTATACCCACCCTGACTGAATAGAAATCTTCTAATACTGAATGTTTGTAATTAAACTGTTAAACAGTCAGGGGCAACATGTACAGCATAAACTCGTCAATCAGAAAAGCACACACGCGTCTCCGTAGTGGTATGCAGAAATCTTTCATTCTGCAGACGAGTGCATTACATTTTCCTCGCTGCTTCGGTAAAATGCGTTCTGCCCTCAAGATGCATTGCAGTAATGCCTTTGAGTGTGTCTGAGTCTTTGCTGGTGGCATCGCGCCCATGTGGTTGTCATTGATGTGTAGGTGGTGTCGTCAGTCTGTCTCTTTATTGCTTTAATGGTGTAGGGTTTGCCAGTTTCAGTCCAGGACCCCATTGATTTATGGGTAAGATCGTCTCTGGAAACACCGCAATGGTTTGGCAAGACAAGGGGGAGGTCTTTGGGTTGTGTGCATGATTTAGCAAAGAAGTGCTTTGGATTGAAGTGACATCGGTTATTTGAAAAATTGTATGTAAAGCAATTAGACACAATTCTCACATTGCAAAAAAAAAAAAAAAAAAAAAAAAAGGTTTTTTTTAAATTCCAAAAAACTGGGTATAAAACCCCTTTTTTT